AGTCAAAGACCATTTATTTTATAAATTTTAAGTTTCATTAAAACTCTAATTTTTGCATAAAATATAGCCTAGGTCATTGGTAATGCTCTCTGTCTGATCGTAAAATTTCATCGCAATGATTCAAATATTTGGAATGGCTGAATTGAATTCAATGCAATTCAGCCATTCCAAATATTAGCCCTGATGGACAGATAGACAAAACTTTGAAACATAGTTATTATAGCCATTGTCTGTCTGTAATTCCACCTCATGTTAAATGATGATGAACAACTAGGTGGTAAATCGCACTGTCTTAGCGCTTGCCTTAAAGTCACCAAGATTGTCATCAAAACTTTATTGTTATTGTAATTTTACCCAGATTATATTACAATATTTTATGTAATTGCATATTGTAGTGTTGTGTACGTCAAAGACTTATGCCAATATAAAGCATTACTATCTTCTTTATTAATTACTATTTTGATTTGAAAACTCTGCTTTGCAATGGCTTAGCTTTGAAATGAGCCGCTGAAGGTCAATGGTTTTAATCACTTACAGAACAAGTTTTTAATATTACCTACAAATTATTATTCTGGGTACTGGATATTTGTCATTGTGCAATTCGTGTTTGTAAAATGTCTCAAGATAGAAAAGAAAACCGTAGTAACGAGGTCATGTATTGTAGAAAAATATAAAAAAAATTACTTAAAGCCAAATACATTTAAACTTATTTGTGTTTCCAAAAGTATAAAAGCTATATATATGTAAAATTCGCAAATTATAACTAGGGAGTTGTGGCGGACTCACTCTACTTTTTATAAACCTGTTGAAAAAATGAATATACAGGTCATTCGATGGCAAATGGCTACTTTTTCTGTTTTTGGCAGTTCATGGACGCCTGGACCCAGCTTCAAACAAAGATGTTTACAGATACGTAATTGAGAAACCATTGAGAAATAAGATGGAATGCCTTCCCTTCAGAATGAAAAACTTCAGACAGCATGGTTTTTATTAATCTTCTTTTATAAGTCTCAAATCAATTTTAAAAATTCGCGAAATATATGATATTTAACTGGCTCGCTATAATTATACTTACTTCATCATTATTTTATACAATTCACATAAAAATACACAAACAACCAAAATAAACTTATTTAGTAAATAAAAGGCCTACAATGAATATAAGGAAATCTCAAATTATATTTTTTGGTTTAATCAATTTTATTACCAGTATCTTCGTCTTCGTTTCCATTATTTTTTATAGAATAAGGGAGACGAAAGAACATACAGTCTACCTGAAGGTGAATGTATGGCGTGGCACATAGACATCTTGAACATATTTCTTCCCATGGAGTAATATAATAATGCCTACGCACACCCGCCTTGTGGGGGCAAGGACGGGTTAAGTCGGACTCGCACCGACAAAATCGGTGTTTGAATCTCGCCGCATATTGACAAGGCCACGGAAACTTTCTCGCATACATCCGAGACCTCATCAGCACAGACGACCCAAGGTAGCCCCTCCTGAGGAGATGACAACTCCTTCTCCTTCTCTTTCTCCAGTATAGCGCACTAAGCTTGCTTTCCTTCCCAGCCCTGAACTCCACCTGCGCATCGAGACCTCCGAGCCAAGTCCGCGGAGGCCATGAAATTAGGAGAGTCGAAAGCATCATCCAACCTGACTCCACCGACGCATATGTTCTTTGGTTCCGCCGCCAACCAATTTTCAACCGTGAAGATAGGGAGAGCGGCGCCTCGCAATACCAACATTTCTCAAACTGACTGACTAGAAGGAAACTTTGGACTAGGCAAGCCCACTCGGAGCGGCCACCTCGGGCCTCCCTACACCATGGGCTAACCAAGTGGTTTCTTCTTTTTTCATCGTTGGTAATCAAGCCACGGCTGCTAAGCTCCCCCCCCCCCCATTGCCACAACTATACAAACTGTATGTATAAATACAAACATTTGTGGTGGGTATGAAATCACTTCATATTATTTAAATTAAAACGTGGTTGGAAAGCTACATGAGGTTAAGTTTTCAACACTAAAGATTTCATATCGTATTCGAATAAAATTATATAGAAAAAATATGAACAGTGCCCCAAGCGGACATAAATGGAACTATTTTTAAACGAAAGACACTCAATGGGGATGCTAATTTCATAACATAGAAAACTCATGGCCAGGAGTCTGATGACTTGCATATGTGACGCCGCATTCATTTTGTAGATCTGGATACTTTCGTAGGCACTAATAAAGTTGCAGGTCATTGATCATCTTATGTACCATGTTATAAGCAAATAATTTTTTATCTATCTATCTCCTTTTGAACTTGATATCTTTTTAAATTATTAACATAATTTTGTATTGCAAGAAGACACAGCGCGGACGCTGTAATTATTTCGACATCTGCCATAGTCGAAAGCCGAAAGTGATGTGAGTGGTAGGGCAGAGTGTGTAAATACACATTTCCCGTGATCCTGCTACGGCAGTATTTAGAGATACTACGATACGATTACTTATTTACATACTTATTACTTAGGTACTAAGTTAGTAGATACTTTTTTCATACGTAGTTCAATTATAAAATTATACTGGTTGGTACCCGACGCCACAAGATCTTCCGAGCGTTTCCTTTAAAGACACAGATAAAGGAAGAAGAATTATTTTATGTAACGACCACACTACGCATAGCTTATTAATTATAATTATCTTTGCTCAAGTAGTTAAATGCAAAACATATATAATGATTTCTTATATTTACGCGAACAATACACATTGAAATAATACCAGTTTTTACGGATTTTACCGCGTATATTTAACTATAAATACCCAACGTTTCGAGTGCTTTACAGCACCCATGGTCACGGGGGGGGACTGAGATGTTCAACGTCCAAATGTCATAGTTAACAGCGGTTACCATAGATAAAAATTTAACTTTTGTTCCGATCTACACAGTATGAACTTATGGTATCTCGAAGTCTTGCAGTTGTATGCTTGGATTGGGATTTAATTTTATTTATTATAGGATCCCAAGTAGATGGTAGCACCCAGACATCTTCTCTATTGAAATTAGGATGTTTTTTGATTTCAATAGCCTCGCGAATCATCCTTGGAAAGAATCGGTGTTCTTTAGCGAGGATTTGTGGTCTTTCAAATCTGATGTAGTGACAGGGGCGATCCTGTACGTGTTCACAGAAATCTGCAGTCTGTGAACAAGAATACGAATAAAAATGCAGATGATTTGTCACCCGTGAGGACCAAGATCCTCGTTTCCAGCAAAAAAGGTCACCGATTCTCTACACTCACCATACGAAATACAGCTGCATGTGGCAACTGCAACTTATTATTATTTTGAATTGTTGTCAGAAAAATAAGGCTATCTATCTCCTGTTTGATTTCAGTCTGTCGCTTTTTACGATACTCACGGGATGGTATGGGGTCTTAAGAGCTTCTAACTATGAATTAGTGGACTGTCTTACGTAACCGCTACACGGTTTTATCAAGAACCTGCCTTCACTTCATGATTTGGAAATATTTCCGTCCAAGCAGAGATAGCTGTCTCGACAGTTTTATTTTTCGCTGGGCAAGTAGTAAATCAGCATATAAAATTGGGATTGTTAATGGGACCTAATTCGCTAATGCAGCGTGTATCTGCCAAGACTTAGTAATCATACCTCACTAACTATTCGTTTTCAAAGTTACCGACACGAATATTTGTAATGTAATATAAGCATCGTCACTTGATTTCGAAAACTATTCACTTGATTTCGTGAATCATAACCAGACTAGGACTAGACTAAATCCTATCTTCTTGGTATTTTGTACAAATAATAAAGTAATAAACAATAAAATTGCACAAAAAGGTCGATTGTCGCTAACATCGACAACGAAACCTCTATAGGTTAAAGAAGTCTAGTTGTCTTGCGAAATAACCTCACCCATAATACTACATTTAGAATATATAGATGGCCATAGTGTGCATGGGAGAATAAAATCCCTTATTGCAAAAATTCAAAACAGAAAAAGGATAGCATGTCAATAATTGTTTTGCAAAATGGTTCAAAATTCGCAAGACGTCGTTACCGCTATGACGCGTCTCTTTTTGGTTATGTAATGTCCAAAATATAAAAGATTTTCAATTATTTTATTAATTTCGATATTTTGCAAAGAAAAAGTAACGTTGTTGATAATTTGTATGAATTTGGTGAATATATTTTTAAACAAAATATTTTACATGTACGATAGGGATTGACTCAACTATATCAAAATTAATGTCGATATTTGTCTTGAGTGTTTATAAAGAATCGATAGACTTGTCCGCCCAACAAAAATAGTAATGAAAGTGAATGCTCGATAATTCCTGCATATTTTTGGGACTTTTTGTAAAAGCGTATACATAGCACCATAAAGTAATAACTGACTCTTTGGAGACAAGTAACTGGTATAACTAGCTTGTGCTTTCTCTAAATACTAGGAACACCTAGTATCAACCAAATATACATCACTATTTTTAATAAAGCTATTTTTATTATTGTGTACACACATTAAATTTTAGTAAATATACTGAGAAATTAAAGTTTAAATATTTTTACTTAACTTTTTAAGGGATTCCTTCAAGTCTAGGTTATAACGTAGATTGCTTTACAGACAATGATAGTAATATTGATTGTTAGACGGTATATTATTTTGTAATTAAGCTTTTTAAAGCATGGTTTGCATTTGGCTTTCTTAAGCTGCGGAGCTGCGAGTACAGATTCCGCAAGAAACAAGCGTTTTTTGGATAAATCATTATGTCAGCAAATATTGTATAAAAATAAGCTTTCATTCTACTATAATCAAGTAAGGTATATAGATGGTATGCAGAAATATGGTAGTAAAATTACTGGCAAATTAAATAATTAAAATCCATTTATTATAATCAAACAGTAATTTCTCCGTTCAGCAGAGAATTGGCAACAGTGGCAGGTATACTGAAGAGCGTTGATAAAATGTTGGATCTTCTCTCATCTGTACAGAGACTAGGATACGGGATTGGACTCGTTGACGATGCTGGCGAATTTGTCTGTAAAACAAAATTAAGGCTTGCTTACAGAGCTTAAACTATTACCTCCTAGCCCTATTCCTTCATTTTATAACGACGTTTTGAAATAAATTTGTATTAACTAGATCAACTTCTGTCATGATAGGACTGCATCTCTGGCTGGTTACTTTCTATTCTCTATTCCACCGCATAGTAGCAGTACATATGTAAAACCTCTATTCCAATTAGAAGAAAAAGACAGTTAATAAAATTACAAGATGTCAAGCATTTGTTCAAGTCGTCAGAGCTGATGATGCATTTGTCATTCTAGCTTAGATATGTCGATGGCTGCAAAATTAATTCATCATCTAGTAGACTATAGCTCGTTTGATACTTTAGTATTAAGAAAATAATATTATTTAATGATTAATTGAAACACAATCTACAAAATTCAATAAATGTTACGAAAATAAAGATTTACATTTTCCCATTGTCTAATGAATATTTTGTTCAGTAGTCAAATGTGTCCTCTGCTGGCTAATCCGGTTATGTAGAAACAATAATGTTTATGATTTTATTAAAGTTTACCCTACATTATAAAGTAATTTTATTAATAGTAGGGTGCAACGTTTTCTTACTTTTAAAAAACTTTGACTTTGGCTTTTACTAATACCCAAGTATCCTGAATCCTGATACCGACTAAGCGTTCCAATGTACGAGCAGTCGGTTAGGCGTACACAGGAACGCTTAGTTCGTACCTGTATACGCGTGCTTGCGGCGAGTCGTCACTAGACGGCTTTAGAGAATTGCCGCAGTGGTTGTGCACACAACAGCTGTGTGACATGGCGAATACTGGCTGGCCGATTCGCAGCTTGTCACAACGCGTTCATAATCCCACAATATATAAAGGTGCTGAACAAGGCTTGAGATCTGAGAATAGGCCCATCAGTCATAGGTGACACGCAGGTTTTCTTCAATAAGGCTCATGACAGTAGCTTCTTGTACTCAGTGATCGCAGTTGAGGGTCGACCTTCACGGGTTTTACTATGGAGAGAAAAACGACCACTCCCTACCATTACAGTACTCAAAAGCGATGCTTAACTTCAAAAAACATTTTGAACACGAGCAGTCCGATTTTGTGTAGAGAGTGATTTATGATCAGCCAGGAGCGCGGAACTTTCAGTGTAACCTATGTATAACCTTCTTTGTTTGAAGCTGGTCAGAGCTGCAGTAGACAACTACGATCAAGGTTTATTGTAAGTTCGTTTTTCACTCCAGTTGTTTAAAAATAGTAAAATATTGGAGCCCTACATATTTAATAGGCGGTGGGGCTGCTCCTAGAAGCCATATCCATCTGGATATGTACCACTCTAATTTCTATTTTTTCCACTTTGATGAAACGCGGACATTATTGTATTCTAATTTATAGTCTATTGAGATCCAGTACAAACAGACTATGAGGTACTACGGCCCTCAGGGATGACAATGCATCTGCACGCTTGGTGTGGAGTTCTCTTGGAATTTACTTTACATCAGGTAAACTCTAATAATTAGAATGCACTTACACTTGACTTGCTTGTTCTTGTTGTTTAATTCAGCAATAGTATTTAGAGGTTGCGAATATGCTGCAAGCAGCATTTGTTTCTGTAATGGATTATCGTTCTGTTGACTGAAAGAGTTGTCAATGAGGTAACACACTTGACCGGGATTAGCGTAATATCCATTTACGGGTATTGAAGTGACGAAAACAAATTCTGTAACAAATCGTATTAAGTAATACACTTTTGTTCCACTAATTTAAAACTTTTCATCGTCATTTTAACAGCGCTTCACAAGTCCACTACTGAACCTAGGCCTCCCCGAAAGAAACTACAAACCACTGTACTTAGCCACCTGCATCCATTAAAAACAAATTAATAAGAAAAAACTCTAAAAACCAAAAAACAATAAGATCTTCAACCAAATTCCAATCTTTACTAATACATACAACATATCCCTCACCCTAACACCCAGTACAAAACTATTTGCACAATACTGACATTTCTCTCTTCCTTCATCACTATTATATCCAAAGGATATGTCTCAACCTTAGCATTCAGTTTATTAGTAAATAATGCATTTTTTTTTTCAAATAAAGGGTTCCTATTAATATTAATCGCATAGATTAAATAGCTACAGTTTAGTCAATTGGGCAAAAAATTAGATGTTAATCAAAGATGTAATATTATATTGTAATATATTATTTAATTTAACCCAAATTCTAAAATACATCTGCTAGTCAACTCCTACATAGTAACAATAAAAAAGTAAGCCGAGATATATTTTATAAATATGCACTTACCGAAAACCAACAGACATATTGAAAATACATTGGATTTCATATTGAACTGAAAGTGGATACGTAAAAACCAGTAGTAATTGAAGACCGTACTACACTACCTATTTATTCAAGTTTATCGTTGTAAGATTTAGTATCATCGTTTTCTCACTTGTGCAATAATATTCTTTATGAACCAGGGAAAAAGGTTCTCCTGCGTATCACTGACATTTTAGTTTGTTTAAATGATAAAATGTAAACTGAAACGCTTCATTGACTATCAAATGACAACAACAGAATTATTAAAGGTACGTTATGTTTCCTTAACACCTCATACTCACGTGTATTAAAAATAAATATTACCATTAAAATGTCCTCAAGCTAAATCACAAATTATTAACTACTCCTGTTTATTTTTCAACAATCTTTAAAACTAAGCTATTATAAAGCTAGCTTGAGGTTTAATAGAAGAGCTGTGGTAGCTCAGGAGCTGAGTGCCTGTTGTAAATTTCACAATACCTACGTAGAAATTGAAAAACAACGCGGGTTTGATTCCCGCCGACATCAATAGCATCGGAAAATTTTAAGTACTGATTTACCACGTACTCGGCGGTGAATGAAAACATAATACAACCTGCATATCTGAGGGAATAAATATTTCGGGGACATGTGAAACCCACCATCGCGTAATAGAGCAGTAAAATAAGAGAATGAAGAAAACAACCTGGATGATCACATGGTCTGGCTTTTAATGTTTCATGGCGTTCTTATCCCACCCTAACTTAATATATATATATATATATATATATATATATATATATATATATATATATATATATATATATATATACATTTATCGTCTTAAGTTAAAAAAAGTATTATCGTATTAAGAATCAAAATGAAGGAAAAGATGCATTATCACACTAAGGGCTGAGATGGAATGCCTCGTTTGTAGCAAAAAGTCATTAGGCTACTATTGCAGGTTGCACGCCTGGTCTTTCACTGGCCGAGCTAAACCATTCATGATACAGCCATACTAAATCTGCAACGTATAATCACGTAAAGAATAAACACGTCCTTACAGAGTACCGACATTAAACATCAGCGTAATGCCAATGGTTAGTAGTGAAAACCTAAGGCCACGTTTTCTAGTAACTAAATATTTCACCTTAGTTCATAGGGATGGTAAAGCATCAGTGTTTGATTTTTAATTAAAAATAGTGACTTTTGTACTACTATTTCTATTTTATTTTAAACAGAATGAAATAGAAGCAGTTGACACATTTATGTTGCTAGGCATCACCGTGGATTTCACCTTGATTTGGAAACCTCATGTGGGTGCAGTTTAGGGTAAACTAAGTAGTTTTACTTGCATCTTTTAAATTCGCAGTGCACGTTGACTGCATACCATGTACACGCTGCCACCTGGATCAGGTTTGGAATTGTACTTTGGGGAAACTGAACTGAACGTCAAGGCA